TCTTCTGACATGTTCCACTGGCCCAACATGATTCTTCCTGCTTTAATTGTCTCATCCTGATCAAAGCATCCTGCGTCACTAACAACGCAGATCAAATCACAAACACTTATCAATTGGTTTCATCATCAAAATACGAGATTTAACACTCCTTAGGTCAGCATGAACTTCCATGACCAAGAGTTGTCAAGTAGGTAACTATAGGTCATCCAGGATTGACAAGAATCGAGTAAGATTGTTTGAATTGGTTTCCAAAGAATTACAACAAATTCCTGAATTTAAGGGCTTTTAGAGTCCTCCAGCAAACCACAGCGACAACAAATAGTATCATATTTGATCATTTCCAGATTCTTAGTCTAACTACTTATAATATTCTCTGAAACAGAACTGAAGCTGTGACAGCAATAAGTTTCAACCCTCAATGCTAGTGCAAAAAAGATGTCAAAAAAATCTGGATCCACAGTACGTGACATGGACCCAACCCATTTAGTACATATAAGTTTACAAAATAACCATAAACTTCAGCTATGTATAAGTGTCATATACTAGAAGTATGATCAAGGATTAACTAAGAGGACAAAGGTTTTTTTTATCTGGAAACTTTAAAATGGCTGCTGTTAACTATAGAAGAGATAAATAGGGTCCAAACTCCAAACAATTTTCTTTGTGATACAAGCTTTCTTAGATCATTTCCTTTTCGAACAAGCATGTTTTCAGTTGCAAGGAAAATTAGAAACTGTTTTTCTTGGAGAATTTCCTTTTTGGTGGTGGCTTGATAGAAAAACTAAAAAAACAAACTTCTGTCCAAGATTCTAGTAGAACCTAAGATATCACTTTCAGATTTATATTTATGAAGCCAAAAGGAACCACCACATCCTTCCTCCTATGGCTTTTTAACATATCTTTCAAAAAAAGACCTTTTCTTACTTTTTCCTGAATTTTAAACACAGAAAAAGAAACCAAAATTCCTTTTTTTCCTACAACTCCAACAATTTATTTATTTTTGACAAACTATTTTCTTTGAGTAGATAATTTCTATCTTTTCTATGCCCAACCAAAGAGGCCCCATGCAAAAGGAACCTACAGCAAAATAAAAGGGCAAATTCAATAGATGAAACTCCCATCAATGTAAAATCTAGAAGGGTCAATATACGAGTTGTACCTAAGATGTTTACATAACTCCAAACTTGCTCACCAAATCACACAAGAACAAAAATCAACTAATCAAAAAACAACTGCAACAGGACTTTAATAAAACAAAGTAATAACAAGTGTGGAAAATGGGATACCTTTTCCATGGGAGTGGACTCTGGAGAAAGATTCTTAGTAACTACACGCATTAAAATGTCTCTTGAACTGATAACAAAAAACCAAGGGAGAAGAAAACAAGCTCAGAAAAAAGGATAAACCTAAATAAGAATTTCCAATATGATATAAATCACATCATACGTCAGAATCCCCTGAGGTTTATTTTCAATTGTTACGATTGCTGAACTAATTTTCAGCTCGAGCATCTTCTTTGTTGCAGTTAACACTGAATCAGTTGGTGAGACTGTGACAAACCTGGGAAAAGATTCCACAATGAGCTGTTTGAAAACATTTTTTTATTTGCTTCATTCCTATAAATCACTAGGCTATCATCAAGCAAAAGAGTCATATCTTGGAATGCATCAGAAAAATTCAAAAAGAATATATTACCTACTTTGAATTCTCTTCAATGATAGTCGATAAAGATGGCCTAAGCATCTGCACTCGAAGAGTTTCAATAAATGTATTGGGACCTAGAGAGAAAAGTTCCTAATTTTATTAGGTCAACTGCTTACAGTTGTCAGGTCAATAACTACCTTATAGAAAAAGGTTGAATATTGTAAGAATAAACAAAAGTATAATTATATTGAGGAAATAAATAAAGCTATAATCACAATAGAGCAAGAAATATTTTTTAGAATTGAGAGCATATATCATGTGAGAAATCCTAATTACTGTGACATATCAAGATCACACACCAGAAATAGTTGTGCCCCAATGCTTTTCCATTGCTTCGACTGCTGCCACCATGGCCTTTCCCTTTTCAGCTGCCCTTTCCATTCGTGTTATTGCATCATGAAGACATTTTGCAATGTCAAGTAAAGCAATGACTTCACCATTTTCTACAATGGGTAAGTGCCTGAACTTTCCTAAGAGTGCCAAGGATGAAGTTGTAATGATAATGGATTTGGTATAAAGATGCAGACGCCTTTAAGTCTTCATGATCAAATACCTTGTACCATCTTCTGCAATGCTTCCACTGCCAGTGTGTCTGAAAGAACAAATATAGGATCTCGAGTCATCACTTTTGAGACTGGAGTTTCTTCGAGCTTTAGCTCTTGAGCAATGACTCTTGTGGTTATATCCTGAAATTAAAATAAAAAAACAATAATATGAGCTCCAACTCATTGACTTGGTTTTCAAGAAGATTCATGCATAAATAGAGAAACCTTGTCTGTTAGAATTCCACAAAGCAATGCATTTGAGTCTGTCAACAATACAGCATCAGTCCTTCGTGCAGCCATCCTACGGCAAGCTTCACGCACAGTGGCATTTTCAGGTATTGTCAAGGCCTTAGACAATCGTAATCTCTTCACAGTTCTGTCTCCACTCATAGTCCTGCCATCAAGGATAAAAAATAAGACATGTAGTACCATAACAGCAATATATTTCATTTGCAAATAGTTACTTAGTGACTAACTGAAACAAAATTCATTCAATCAGCAAATGGAAGATACACAGATAATTTGATAAATTTTCCCCATACATTTTCACATCATTAACATAACACTGCTATTGTTATTTTAACATTTAAGTCAATAGAAATGCTTTATGAAATTGAGAGAGGCCTGCTAATAACATTAGGGCAGGGCTTCAAAAGTTAAATTGTTAAGATAGCATCTTTTATTCATTTTCTGCACTATGGTTTCACCTTCCAATTAGGGGGAAAAAGGCCACTCAATGATCTAGATTTGCAGTATGAAAAATAGGGGAGTTTGTGATTTTTCTGTTTCTTATGTTGTACACTTCTGCCCATGCAATGAATTGTCTACTCTGCAATTGACTACATTCTTAAGATAATAAAGGCCATAGAATACAAATTTCTTTTAGATTCATATATATTAAGTCATTAAAAGCGTACAATAGATAATATTCATCATAACTCTCCTTTTTGTCATCGGTGTGCGACTAATAGGTGATCCAAAAGAAGTTGAAGCAAGTCCAGAAAAGAAGTTACTTTAGAATTTAGAGAATTTAGAACTTCCAAAGTTGATATGTATTTCAAGCAATGATCCTGACAGTAATAGATGTAGCCTCTTTTTTATAACAAAAGCAATTCCCTTGGTTAGGAGGACAGATTAGAGAAATCCTTAAGTCTCAAAGAACCGAAGCCCAAAGTCTATAAAGGGCAAGATGGTAATGGTTTAATTCAATTGTTAGCATAAATACTTATCAACAGTTTTAGGTTAAACAACTTCTTTGGTAATGAATTCTAGAAAGCCTCATTCTTTTTCCTAAATATTTTTTAACTTAAGATTTAGACTGCTGCTAATCAACTTAGAACATCTGCATAGTAAAAATAACTCTTAACTCAGCATGACTCTCTCTAGATAAATCCTTCTTTAATATTTTCAAATACCTAAATATAAGCTGGAAAATATATCAAGTAAAAATCCCCCACATGATGTGTTAATACCAGAGAAGCACTTGACATGATTAAAGTCATGATTCATGAACCATGTAAGAATTTGACAATAGGATAAATGTAACCACAAAATAGTCTGATCTCAAATTCTTGATCCATGAATGAAGGTGAAGTACCAGTGCAACTTTACAAAAGGACATTATGCTACAAAATATTTGTAGATAAGAAACAGGAAATTTGATTCTACATCCATCATTAGATGAGCCCTCCATCTCCATCCCTTGTCTGAAAGCCTATCGGCAAATTAGTGATTCTAATAGCGTTCTAAACCATGTCTTCTGCACGATAAGAACATTCAGTTCTAACTGTAGTCGAAGCAAAAAAAATACCACGGAATTATAAATCTGGAGCAACTATCGCAAGTAATTTCGAGATGATATAGACAAAAAAAGACCCAAAAACTTCAATCCAAAGGAAAAGCACTCCGACTTCATTCGTTAAACATCAATGCACACAAGATGATAGATATCGAGGGGAAAAAACCAGACGAAAAGAAGTACAGTAACAGAACAGTTCATCCTAACAGAAGACGACATCAACGGAACAAATGAATCGACCAATAGGAAGAACTCTCCTCAGAAATAGGGAACAAGAAACTAACGAGGGGCGAGGTGTTGAAGTCCACCGTCCAGATTCGGCGCTGCCGTTCTCCAGTGCATTCTTCCTCTCGGAAACGCTACCCCCGGATCTGCTCCTCCGCAACGACCCGCCACCGACCTGTCCATCCATCTTCCAGTCCTCTCTCCCTCCCTGTCCCTTGGCTCAACTCTTCCGCCGCCGCGGCGACGACAACGACGATGATCGCAGGTCTCCTCCCACCGAACCGAACTGGGGGAGCGACGCGACAAGGGGGATGGAAGTTTCTTTATACAGCACAATTTTGTCCATTTTCCAGTAAGAAATAAAAAACCCAAAAATTTTGAATTTACCCGCCTCGCCTACGGTCATTGTCCCAGATCGTGGGTCCAACAGACTCCACGTGTTTCCAATTGCCACCTTGGTATCACTTCAATGACACGCCACGAGTAAGAAAAAAGTATTCCCAATTGCCACGTCAGTACATTTACCCTAACCCCTTTTTTTTCAAAAACTGAAAATTCACGCGCTTCTCCACCTGATTCTTTAGAGTCTCACACGTCACTAAAGCCGTGCGGGACCCAGCATTAAATGAGAGTTCCATTTGCGGGTACGGCGTTTGTGAGATTTGTTGAATTATTTTTCCTTCCGTTCGCCCTCTTAATGCGTTGTCGGGTGGTTCGGTGCTTTCGATTCCTCTCCTTCTCCTTATCGCTTCCTCCACCTCTCTCTCTCTCTCTCTCGCGCGCGAGCAAAGAGACAGAGGGAGATGGCGGACTGGGGACCGGTGTTCGTGGCGGTGGTGCTCTTCGTGCTGCTATCGCCAGGGCTGCTGTTCCAGATCCCGGGCAACGGCCGGCTGGTGGAGTTCGTCAGTCTCAAGACCAGCGGCCTCGCGATCTTCGTCCATTCCATCATCTTCTTCGCCCTCGCTGCCATTTTCATCCTCGCCATCGGCGTCCACGTCTACACCGGTTAGCCAGCCACCTCGATTCTCCCATGGAACTGCAGACTTGGCTGTGCTCTGTGTCCATTGCCTCTGTTCGAATGTTCATCTCTCTTGTGTCCCGTTGCCCTCACCTTCTTCTTGGAAGAAAGCTGCCATCTTTGATGTGAACCTCAAACGGGTTTGCTCTGTTCCAAGTGTAGGTCATGGTCTTCTCTGTGTTGAATCTGGTAATCCGTGTGATTTGATTTCCAATACAGATGTTATCTTCGCTCCTTCAGTAAATCGAGCACAATAAAGAGAAGAAACAGCAACAACAACAGCAAAGAGATATCTTTTGTTTTAAGAGTTGAATCCTTGCGATTGTGTTTTCCATGATCTTCTTTGTTAAGACTTTGTAGTACATATCAAGTTATTGTGTTGGCAGGAAAAAAAATATGCTGTCAAGATTAAAGTAGATAGTTCTTCAAAGTCGACTTTTGAATTTGCTCTTCGGTTAATATACTGATATGGACATTCTATTTGACATTTTTTTCTTAAAAATATTAAAGATGCTCCTTTTATGTTACTAATTTTTATGGACCAAATAAATCAGACGGACAAGTATGCCCCATTTGGTATATACTATTTTACTCTTTCGTCACCTTTTCCTCTCTCTCTCTTTCTTCTTTTCTTTTCCAATGCTCGTCCTCTTCTTTCTCATCTATGTTTCGGTGGATACATCAAAATAGATTAAATTCATGTGAGTTCGACTATATAAATCATAGATTCAATATTTGAAATTAAAAATTTGTTATTACTTTAGAAGATACATATATTGGTTAATAGTATATTAAACAACCTTTTGACACTTATCCCGATATGAGGCACGTTGGGAGTCTTTCGATACTTAGTTCAAAATGATGCATACGTTTACCTCGATGATGGGCACGTTAGGCAATGGAGGAGATGGTATTATTTGAACCATTGCAATTGTGCGTTTTGCACTTAGTTTGAGAATAAAACATTTGATGCTTTTGTCTGCACAGTATGTATTGGACATTTTGAATGCTCTTGTTCGTAAAGAACACATCATATGTTCAAGAAACTACGTTCGTAAAGGATATTTCAACCATGGGGATGCTTTTGTTCATAAAGATGTATTGCACGTTATAGTTGCTTGTGTTACCGAAATATGCATGGCTATTAGGTTATTTTTATTCACAAAATGATGTATTACACATTTCAGGTATTATTATCCATGAAAGATGCATTAGATGCTTCTAATGTTTTTGTCCATGAAGGATGTATCGATGGTTGAAAATGCTTGTGTTTGCGAAGGATGTGCTAAACACTAGAGTCGCTTTCGACTATACTACAATGAAAGGGGAGTGATTCGAGTCATTTTTGGCACGTTGTCATTGAAATGAGAGCTTTAGGATGTGTTCATCACATTGATGTTGAATAAAGCACTTTAGCTACAGTGCTGCGAGCTATGTTAGCCATGCTATCATCGTATGTAGCACTTTGGGCCATTTTGATTACACTGACATCATAAAAAGTGCTTCAAGCCCTGTCAATCATATTATCATGGTAGAGTGTTTCAAGCCATGTCGGCCACATTATTATTGCAGAAAGCACTTCGAGTTGTATTGGCTTTGCTATCATTATAGAAAGTATTTTAGGCCATGTCGATCACATTGTCATCATAGAAAGTACTTCGGAGCATATCAATCATATTATTGTCCTAGAGAGCGCGTCAAACCATGTTAGTGGTGATGCCTCCATAAAGCTTTCAAGCCATGTTAGTTGTGCTATTGTCATAGAGAGAACGTTGGGCCTTATCGATCATACTATCTTTGTAGAGAACATTTTGGGCCTTGTTGGTGATAAATAATACTTTCGGTTATATTGATCGCATTATCATTGTAAAGAGCACATCAAGTTGTGTTAATTGTGCTGTCTTTGTAGAGAGTGTTTCAGGTTGTGTTTGTCATGTTATCATTGTAGGAGCACCTCATACCATCTCAATCGCATTGACATCATAGAGACCACATCAAATATCGTCGATCATGCTATTATTATAAAAAGCACTTCACGCTATTTTGACACACTATTATTGTAGAGTGCTCCAAGCCATTTTGGTCATGTTTCAAGTTGTGTGAATCATGTTGTGGGTTGGGGGCGGAGCACCCTCACTAAAGTGCCCATTGAATGAGTCAACTGAATAACATTCTTACGATAAGAGCCATCCTTCTAATGCCAAATTAATAATGTAGATATTGGTGATGCCTTGTTCAACCTGACTCAATTCATGCTCATGTGCGTAAGAAATCCATTGTAATCGAAAGAGAGACTCAAACGCTTGCTCATAGGCTAAAGTAAAATTAGCTTATACTTTGCAACCGATTTACATGAAGACCGAGATCAAAGTAGATTTTTGATATGATCTCTTCTATGTTTAAGTCAAACGCAAGAGTAATTTTAGTAACTAATCAAAACCTAGATGGGCATGACCTAATATATTTTTTATAATATATTTAACTTAGAAGAATATTAGAGGTTATTCTCTTAGTTTTTCTCGTATCCTCATCCCGTTAACTCAAAGTCCTAATTGGGTTGAATATTTTTCGTATCAATCGATTAATTATTAATTATTAATTATTTTAAAAAAATTCATCCTATTATAATCATTATTCTCGATCAATTTTGACTTGACATAATAAATCTAATTTGTGTTTACTATGTATATCAACTTACCTCCCAAGATAGGTTTACTGGACTTGCTGTCTAACTAAAGAGAATATGCTCAATTATTATATTCACGGTAAAAAGAAACACACCATGTAAAATAACATTCTCATATAAGTTTGGAATTTGAAATTGATTAGATAAATATTTGTGGATGAACGTATACTTTATGAACATATACTGATCATAAGTTATATCAGACAAATTTATTACTTGCCTAAGTTCCAAATAATCAAGAAACTTCCTCTTCAGAAAAATTAACAATATCACATCCATAATCCTTCCTCATCTAACTAAAATTAATACTTGAATATATTTTAAATACATCAAATCTTATACTTTAAATAATCTAATTTTCACTATTAATATTATTTTGAAAGTATCAAAAGAGTTACAAGCTTAGAAAGCGAGATATAAGATATAGATAGATGTGCATATTTTGCCTTGGAAAAAATAATTACTTGTTCAAGTTTTAAATACTAAATAAACTTTCTCTTCCAAACGCTAGGTTACTAAAATAAAAGATAAATCATATCATATCCATAATTCTTTCTTGTATAAATAATAATAATAATAATAATAATAATAATAATAATAATAATAATAATAATAATAATAATAATACTTGAATCCAATTTAGATGAAAAATTATTTCATACATAAAATAAAAGGATTCTCGAACCTAATCTAAGTGGATCGATGATACTTGGATAGTCGAAATAACATGCACCACTAGTCACTTCAGGGGTGATTAGGTGCATCTAAATTGCAGTCTTGGTCGAATTACTTGAGTTCATCGACGACTCTACGTCGGACACATCAGCCGGACAAACCAATTGGATCATTGCTTAGTCAGCCATTGAAAGAATAGCATGACGCGCTCAAATGTGTAATCCGGCTCGATGTGAACCGTAACCCGGTTCGATCGGCTCGTTTTTATATGTAAAGCAATGGGTCGGATGGACTGCTCTCGTTCGACGCGTTCCACTTCGGCGCCTGGGAGAAAATGGAGGCAGAGCGCTCCTCCGTCCCCCAGCCCCGGGCGAAGGGAGGCGCGGCGCCTCCGCCTGATTCCGATCGGGCCGCCGGGGGAGCCTCGAAGTACCTAACCGGCCTCCCATCCCGTGGCCTCCTCTCCTCCGCAGTTCCCTCTTCCAACCTGGTACTCCTCTTTCCTTCCCCCATCCGAACCCTATCTTATCCTTTTTGTCTTGCGTACGAAGATCGTTATTAATTTGAGGACTTGTTATCTATTTGTAGGGTGGCATTCGGGTGTATGTGTGTGATCACGAGACGGCGCCACCAGGTTCGCGTCCTTTCCAGTCTCTTTTTTCGATCTTATATCTCATTCCCGTGCGGTATTTTTGAACCGTTTACCGTGGAAAGTTCATTCTTTTTTCCTGGCGTTTCTTCGAGTGCCGTAGTACTCCAGAAATGTTTTTATTCGTGGTGCGAAAGGACGCTGGCTTGCTTCGCTGTGGAACAGTTTTGCCTGATTAGGTTTCTGAGAGTGATGTGCTGCTTATTGGTTTGCTTCTGATTCATTTTGTGTTATATTCGTTATTCAATAAATCAATAAACTCGGGGTAGGCTATGTAAGTTCACTTTCATCAATTATGGAGTTCAATAATAGATGTGGTAATTCCAATTCGAGAGGATTCACGACTTTGAAATGGCAAAATAAAAAAGCAAAGGAGTTATCATGTTCCTGAATGAGCGTGGTAATACTAGGGTTTCTGTTAGAAACCTAATTCTAGATCATATAGATCAACATTTAACCGATGGATTTGAAGTGTTATGTGGTTGCTGCAGCTATGCGGATCTCTTTATAGTACTTGAATTCTCCAAAGCATAGGGCTGAAATAACTAAGTGCACGTTTTAATCTTTAAGTTCAACATACCTAACGATTTATGAACTACTTCACTTTCCTGATTTGCTTATCATCAATTTCCTGATTCTATATGTCACTACAAAAAATAACAATGCCATAATTAGAAATTTATGACCGCTTGTTACTTTCTTTTTTTGCCTATAAAAGAGGAATTCTTGTTCTGTTTCTCATAATGTGTTTATGTTTGTGATGATTCATGTTGTGCCTTTGTGCTGCCTTATCTGAAGATAAATCAATTGGCAGGTCTAGATGGCAGGGTGCTAAGCTGTTAAATTGGTCAGGTTCAGGTGGCATTTTTCTTAGTTGCTGGTATCAACATGTCGCTGGGATGCCGTCCAGAAACTTTAAACAATTTTTAGTGGCGAGAATATGTATATTGTGGCCCTGTCTTACATAACTTTTCTAACAGTATGGTTACCGGGATAGGAATCCATCTTTACCTACAAAGAGTCCACATCAACGATTCAACATATATAATGCGGATTGACTCTCCCTTATAGTTGCAAGGAGAAACTAATTCTTTTTATCCTGTAGCTTTCACCTCCATTATCCATATTCTCTACTATTTTTAATGAGGAAATTATATTAGACTTGGCATTAATTTTTATTCATTTTCGTCTTTTTTAACACAAATTTGAATTTTCAGTTGCAAAATAATAGTGATAATCATATTAGGAAGCAAGAGGAGAACATGTCCTTATTTTTTTTCTTTTACATGCAATGAGTAATATTAGAAGATTGGACCAAAGTGGCACATGGTTAAAAGTAAACTATATGGTTCTCAACCAGGAAAAAGACCCCATTCTGAGTACCGAAAGGTCCCAACTAATTCAGTTGTGAGCACAGGCATATAAAGAGTAGGGAATGATAAACTTCTACTTTTTCTTTCTAAGACCTGGGTTGTCGGTGTACAGAGGAGGCTGTAGGAAGTTCTTAGTGCACTGGGGAAGCAGAAAACGTCAGATTTGAATAAGATCTGACCTCAAACAGCACTAAAGACCACCAGGCTCAAGTTGAGATGTTGTACCTGAGCTGTTGGTTAGCTTTCAGGGCCACTAAGCTTGAAAAGGCCCTTAAGAAGGCACATATGCAATGAGTACTACCTGCATCAGTAGTACCATACATGTGCAGGATTCCTGTTTCAACTTTTATGTTGTCAACCCACCCCTTCATTTTTAGAGTGTTTTGTTGGAGTTACACATCTAGCATTGATAATTAACTTGTGTCATTGGATATCTGGGACTTGTGCTTGTTTTCTCATTACTTTGTATAAGTTGATCTAATTGTTTGTAGTTTTAGGTGGTTATATGACAGATTTCTTGTTCATCTCTTTTGTTTTTGTAGATGGGCAATTAATCAAGACAAACACAACAAACATATTAATTAGAGCTCTTCAAATTAACAAACAGAAGAGTGATTTAAAGGATGTAACTGCTAAAGCTGCAACAGAGAGCAGCACAGGCAAAAGGTACTGTTTGGTGTTTTTGTTTACAGGTGGCCTATGCACATATCCTTGACTTCTCTTGATGTTTAGCACACATGTACTGATTTATAAATTTTTCCCTCATACGTCAACTGTTGGTTGGCACTCCATTGAATTTGCTTGTATGATAGGTACCATGATAGATTCATGTTAACGCGACCTATTGATTGTGGACTTAATGTATCTCTTGTTAGTGCTGATCCCATCAAATGGCCAATGTTCCATACTGTGCTAAACTGGGTGTTCATTGACAATGATAAGGAACGAGACTGTTATCTTTTTTGTCATTGTGCGTTCATATGTCAACTTTTGTATAGGAAAAAATTGCATTAAAAAAATGCATTTCAAACTCTCTATTTGGCAGTATTGTTATGAGTTCTGAAGAAGTTGAGGAACAGTTAGCTGGATTTCTTTTATTACTTTTATCATAGATGAAACTGCATGTTAATACATTTTAAGGCCTCCTGAACTGTTGTAATTTTCATTTGCTTTTTTTTCTTTCCCAGATCTGCTGGTAGAACTTCAGAGGGAAGGACTCCAAAGAAAACAAAAACTAGTTCTGGTTCTACTAGTAGCCATCAAGGTATTCCTTTACTATTTTTAATTGCTTGACCAGGAGGGATGACAAAGTAATCATGTTTGGGAAACATCAATTTGAAATAGCATTTGCTGATGAGTTACCTGAATATAGGAAAATTCTCTTGAATAGAATATGATTCCAGTTTGTTGGAACGAGCGTATGAGTTATATTTTATTACCAAGGAGTTTCTGATTTTTGTAGGGAACTCCAGTAATGGATATTCTGAGAAAACACTTCAGATGATGACTGTAGAGCGCTTGCGTGCTCTTTTGAAAGAGAGAGGACTGTCACCAAAAGGGAAAAAGGCATAGATCTTTCTATTATAATATCATTTCATGCTTTCATGCCTGCATTGGGATTCTTTTCTTCAACTATGATGGTTTCTTGATAGATAATCCTTGGAACTTTTTCTTGCATTGGTTTGACTGTAGATAACCCTTCCTTGGTGTTTAGCACCACATGTTTCTCCAAATAAGTCAGCTAGTTTTCGATGAGCTCTTCTTGAACTATGGATACTTGGTTCCTTTTTACAGGATGAACTGATTGCACGCTTGAAAGACAAATCATAGAGGAAGCTGCTGACGAAACCTAGGAGTTTCTCAAGTGGCCTTCCACCAAATGACTGAACTTTGTTGACCGTAGATTTGATCCAGCAATGTCCAAACAGTTGTGGCATCAAACGATGCCACAATTAAGATGCTTTCTGGAAGAAGCCGGTGCCCTTTTTGTTGCTACCCTGTTGCGGTATTTTTGTGACCAGCCTTTGCTTGGTATAAATTATAAGGATGTAACTCTTACTACAACCTGTCGATATATGCTTAATCATGTCTTTTGGTGTTGTTGATGTCGTTATATTTATCTTTCTCTCTACAATCGATCGTATGTCTCGTGTCCTGGCTTATGCAAATCATTCACTTACTGGCTTCTTATCACCTGTCAGATTGCATGCATGCTTCTGTTCTTGTTGATTAGTAGAAATAATTATTCGCTCATGATCATAAGAAATAGAAAAAATGTTGACCATTTTTTGTGACTCAGCCCAAACATAAAGGTCATAGTGTGGATGTCGTTGAATGCCCATGAGTCATATTTTTCAAGCTAGGAAATTAAATTGTATCTTGGTTGCAATTTCATAGTATTCATTTTAATGTATTTAAGAGTGCTCATAAGATTTGAATCAACAGTAAATGATGTAACAGCTTAAAGAGTATGTTAGAATTTATATGACAAAATTAGAAAAAAAAAAGAGAAACTATATAATTCATCCGATATATAAATAATTCAAAGTCCAAGTTTACCTTTCAGTCCTTCCTTTGGTTGAAATGTGGATCAATTTCTCAAATATATGAACTTTCACTGCAGCTGATCTCACTGGATTCCATATATCGAATTCCTCCGATACATAAAATTGCATAAAAGTGATATTCATATTTACTCCTTTAAAGGATTTGGAATCATAATTGGCGACATATTATAACGGTTTGTTATGACGTCTGATATATTCGCAATGGTTACAATCATTATAACGGTTTCATGGTATCCGAAAATTTCAAATACGCATTTTCAAAGGTAACCGCCTCAGATTCCAGAATTCGAACCGGGGGGAGATCTGTACGTGCACTGATCTTAAAGCAAAAAAGTTAACCTTTGGCAGCCTCGTCCTCGTCGCCTATAAATAGCCCACCCGTCCCGCCAACCTTTCGGAATCATTCTCTCTTCCTCTCGAGCTATCTCGATCGCCTCCTCCGAAATGGTTTGCTCTCCGTGCCTTCTCTTTCCGCCTCGATCTCCATCTCCATCTTGATCTCTCGCGTTCTCTGATCCGATGTCTCCCTGTTATTTGCTCAGGTTGTCGCTCAGCGGGTGAAGGAAGCGGAGATCACGGAGCAGGATTCTCTGCTCCTGGTGAGGCGATCGATGAACTCCTCGGATCTCTTTCTCTCTCTCTCTCAAGTCGCGTTCGTTTGAGTGGATTGCTTGACTTAATTACGGATCGCGGTAGCGTTTTTTCGTCGAGCTCTTTACCTCAGATCGGTGTTTCTGGCTGCTTTATCATGCTACCTTGAGTTTGTTTTCTTTTAGGTCGAGAATCTTCACTCTTTCATTCAATGACGAGGAAGCGATCTTCTAGATCCGTGGATTTTTCTTCGAGTTTTTCCCACTAATTACGCAACTGTAGTCTAATCAGCGGCTTGACTGTTCTTGTGTTGAAAGAAATGTTTAATTAACTTTCGAGAATTTTCTCGAGGACGAAATATAGTTTCACTAAGATCGTTCGACATTGAAAGGATTGCTATCGGTAACTTTTAGATCTATGCGACGAAATGTTTTGTTGTTTTAACATAGATCAGAAAAGCTCTGCTGATTGTTTTGGAGAAGATATATAGACTAGGGATAAAATAAAGTCACTATAATTATATATTTTGGTTTTTCGAGGTTTCGCTACTAGTGAAGATCTGATGTCACGATTCATCTGTTTACTTCACATTCATTTGTCTCTATGTTTCTGAATCAAATGATTTGTGGATTTCGAAACAGACGCGAAACCTACTTCGAATCGCCATCTTCAACATCAGCTACATCCGAGGCCTTTTTCCCGAGAAGTACTTCAGTGACAAGTCCGTTCCCGCTCTAGGTCATCACTTTTCCCGCCAAACCTTCAGAATGGCTTGCATGAATCGTTGTGAAATCGATGGTATCTGATACTATATTGATGTAATTTCGGCACAGAGATGAAGATTAAGAAGCTTATGCCCATGGATGCAGAGTCTAGGAGGCTGATTGATTGGATGGAGAAAGGTAATGTTGATCCAAGTAGGGCATACCCCGGTGTTGTTTAACATGGACTTGGTGTCTTGATTACCCGATCATTTAATGCTATTTTATTTCGACATTTATGGTCTTAATTTCCGTTCAGGTGTCTATGACGCGTTGCAGAAGAAGTACCTGAAGACGCTTCTGTTCTGTATCTGTGAGGAGACAGAGGGTTCGATGATCGAAGAGTATGCATGTGAGGACCAATTTTATCTGTGTATATTTTCATCCCATCTGATCCGATGTTCCTTCATGTTGACCAATGAATTAAGATTGCATGGCTGTGACTCGACCTAGGTGGTTCATTCGTATTACATAGAAACTCCAAGCCACAACCATGTCCGAGAATTTAGCTGGGACTAACTTGATAGTGCCAAACTGCTCAATAAGTTCCAACCTCTCTGTTTCCCAAGCCGTCTCTGTCATTTCTATGAGCTGAAGCATGTCAATATATACGATTGCAGTTTCGTTCAGCTATTCTAGTTTGAATAGTGATGAGGTCTCCATGAAAGTTAGTCGCAATGGCAACAAAAAGAATGGTGCAACCTTCAAATCTGACGTGACTGATGTAACCCCTGATCAAATGAGGTAAAATTAGTGGATTCTGTCAAATGATACCTAAATCTGAAGCGGTTCATGCTCCCCTTTTTTCCTTCGTTGCCATTCAATTAAAAAGTAATTTGTTGTCTGGTGAGCCTTGCTTGCTATACCTTTAAATAATTAGTTGTTCTTTCTAGGAGTTCTGCTTGCAAGATGATTCGGACACTTGTTTCGTTGATGAGGACATTGGATCAAATGCCTGAGGAGGTAACCACAATGATGGTTAATATCTGTTTTACTTCAAAATAAAAAAGCTAAAAAGGTTGTATCTGTGTTTCAGCGGACCATTTTGATGAAGCTCCTTTATTATGATGACGTCACGGTATGATATTATTCCAATCTATAATCTGGAATAAGCTTTTTTTCATTTGGTCTGTGCTCAAATCATGATTAGAAAAGTCTGAATTGATTAGTAAGGAATCTGCAGCTTCGCATGACTTTCTTTGGAACCTTCTTTTTTATAATGTCTTTATCTTGCCTTCAGGTTTTCTATAGCAATCCATTAATCTCCAAATTGTAAATGCTGTATTTGTAATTGCTAGCCACCATGGACTAGTTATATCTGAACACAAACTAATCCTAACGGCGCTGACAACTTTGTCTGATGTTGCAGCCGGCAGATTATGAGCCTCCATTTTTTAGAAAATGTTCTGAAAATGAGGCACCCAATGACTGGACCAAGACTCCACTGAAATTGCAAGTGGGGAATGTGAACAGCAGACATGTTGTCTTGTCTCTGAAGGTACAGGAGAGAAACACTAAGACCATGCAACCGACATTTTCATTATAGGTGCTGTGGTCATTGGTTAATAGTTACTTGGTTAGGTTAAAAGTGTCCTCGATCCTTGTGAGGATGAAAATGATGGTCTTCCAGAAGATGAGGAAGCGAGCCTAGGAGATGACTCTGGACAGGGGAATGACTCTTCTTCCGACAGTGAGGTGATTTATAAACAATGTGTTTGTTGAACTGTGTAGGCAAATACAACTCTATGAAGGATTTGGAACACTGTTGCATTTTTAAGATAAGATTGTTGGTTAATGGTTATGTTTTTCTTGAACAAAATAAGTACAATCTATTACCTTCACACTGATGGGATAAAAAAAACAGAAAAGTTGCTCCTGATTGTTGTATAAATTTAAATTAAAAGTTTAGTTCTCCCACTGAAAATTGTGTGAAGTTGTTTATTGAATCTCAGGTACGCCCATCCTTGGCGGACCGGTTCATTGTCGCACCAATTGGTAATCCTTTTCACGATTTTGAATATGCTTTAATCTCTCTTCGTTTAAGCTAACTTAGGTTATTGAGCAGGTAAAAAGCATCCACGTGAAGATAATTGCACGAATTCTGATGGTCAGTGTGACATACTTGGGGAAGATACGAATAATTTACAAAAATAAACTTTTATGCTCGCTTAACTATGTTTCAGTCTTATTTTACGATTTTTTTGGAGGATACGAATCAAATTTGTTCTCATAATCCAAGATATTAGTGCTTATATGGGCTGTATTCATGTACAGTTTCTCAAACCATTTTTTGGTCATTGCTCATTTAACCCCTTACATTTGCATTTTTTGGTCCCAGATGAAACTCAAGATGCTGCCCATGAAGATGAACAGACATCTCGAGTGAGGGATTGGATAAATTCTGGGCACAACTCCACAATTTATCTGGCAGATATACTTGCAAATTTTCCAGACATATCACTGGTAAAGATAGATTTCCTTCTGCTTAATTTTGATTCCATTTTTACAATGGAAAAAAGCGATAGATGTAGTATCATTTGCCTGTTTCTGATTTATGTATTAACCTTAAACATGTACACTAACGATATCTAGTAGTGGATCATGAATTATGAAAATTGATTCCATTTGTTCTGTGGATAATTTGCAGGTATTGGCTGAAGGTAAATTGCAGAAACATAATCCTTGCTAACTGCTAATTTAAAGCAAAAGCAAATTCGAGAAATCACAACTGTTTTTTCCTCATTTTCTCAATTTGTGGGATAACACTAGATATTGTTGAGAGGCTGATGAAAGAAGGGATTATTTCCAAAGCTGGGAAGGATAGTTACACCGTAAACAAGGTTGCAGGAACCAGCCGTCTGCTTAAATTTTCTTCTTTTTTATGTTGAATTTTCTTTCCTGCTGACTAATTAGTCATTATTAGGGAATCAACTCGAAAGCATGTACAGTGAAAGAAGAGGCTGAGATGGAAGGCATCACAAATTTTGAGAAGACTTGCAACAACTTTGAAGAAGATTTCATGTACATGAAGGTAACCACACATCCAGTGCACTGATATATATTGTGTATTACTGCACTATGTTTCCTGTGCCCTGGTTTGGAACATCTGGGATGATAGGCTTTCAACTTGGCTGCAGGCACTATACTATGCTCTTCCCATGGATTACGTTTCAATACCAAAGCTTCAGAGCAAACTTGCAGGTGTAGCCAACCACAGTACTGTTAGGAAGTTGATTGACAAGATGGAACAGGATGGGTATATTAAAAACACGGGCAACAGGAGGTTAGGTAAGCAGTTAAAAATGCATACAAGGTTTGGACTTTGTGCAGAGTTCAAACAATCTTTAAAGCATACGGAATTATGTATCTGATCTTGACAAGCATACAAGACGAGAAAAGCAAGGATATGAATTTGAAGGACCATGATATGAAGTCGATTAAATGGTCACTCTCAATGGCTTATGTTGTAGATGAGATTATACATGAAGGGCATTGCTAAATCGGTCAATTTCGCTTTATATAGTGTAAGCTTCTGATGGGTTTGTGGTAATTTACTAGTCACTTGGTCACCGTAGATCAATTTATGCATCTAACCTTCTTTTAATAATAATATTGTTTACTGTTTAGTACCGATTCAAAAATGCTGACACCTAATGAAGTTGTCATGGGTCGATGATTCTGCAAGATATTGGTTATAATTATATAATGATCAGTATATATTTCCCTACAGAAATTATCTTTCTCATTACTTTGTGTGATTTAGTTACAATTTTTATGATATCCAACTTTTGATTAAATGCAGGTAAGCGAGTTATTCACTCCGAGTCTAGCAACAGAAAGCTCCTTGAGGTCAAACAGTTCCTGGAGCAGAAAACAATGGTAATGAATCATTCTGGCGTTACCGTGATAAAGATACTTTTTAGCTTGCCAGAAACCCATCTTTTATCCTATAGCCATCTCTGTCCTTGTTGTGTCATAACTTTAAATACTTTGATCAGGAGATCGATACCAACTGCCAAACATTTGAATTCAATAATTCGGAGTTCCCTCCCAGTGGTAATTATTATTGCTCCACTACATGTTTCAGTGATTTCATATACGAATCACTTACCATCAGGAGTGTGATATAGATACTCTAGACTTTGTATTATTTGTTAATCTGGCTTAAGTAGTATATATCAACTTGTTATCTTGAAGGAAACTTGCCATGACAATATTCTAAATATAACATGCTTTTGAGCTTGTCAATAGACAAAATCATGAACAATGGGTCCACATTTGGTGGCCTCCACTCCATTGGATCTGATCTCACACGCACCCAAGCCAGATCTAAGCCACATCAGAGTGGACAGCTGCTGAATGATCAAGCAGCTCACACAAATGATCAGGAACGTGGAAACACCCCCACTAGCAATCCTGCGGTTAGTCCTTTGTCTCTCTCGAGAAGTATCTTTAGTACTATTATGTGATGGCGTCAGTTGTTTTAAAGGACAACTAACTCTAGTCCTATAATTTGCAGCCAATTGCTTCTCTAGAGAGTGGAGTGGCTGGAGAACGGCCCAAAGCTATGACTTTATGTGCAGGTGATGTCTCCCATTCCACGGAAGACAAGCGTTTAAGGAAAGCTAGCACGGTATTGATATATTTGTTTAAATCTGCAAAATGATGTCAAAGCTTTGACATTATTCAATGTCATTTTTTTACTCCTGTTATTCATCCTCTAAATTATGATTCAAATTATACCCTTGGCAGGTGGAAGAGCCTATTCTTCAGTACGTGAAGCGCCAGAAATCTCAAGCTTAGTAGGATTTAGTTGAATTTCTGGAGCTGTAAATAGTGCTCGGAGTGCTTATGCGTTTAGTAAAAAGTTCTTTCCCCGATATTACAGTGTCATCAGCTACAGGGGCTCTAATATTCTTGTGCCGTAAAGGATTAGGGACAAGGCATGCTTAGTCTTTCATCATTTCACTTTACGTTTTCTTTTACTGTTCTTTATATTTGAGGTGGTACTTTGATACACATTTTTGGTTCTAAATAACTAGCGGAACGTGCTTTATTTGCATAATTCATTGTTTCTTCATCACGGAGTATGTCGTTTCTGACACCTCATATTTCAAGTGACCTCAGAGATTAACGCCTTTTCTTGTCATCAAGTTCTGTCTTCTGATATGTTTTTATAAGTTTCGTGCTGTGTTTAGTTTTCATAAATTAGCTTCACGTAGTCATCGTTACAGCTTTTCCTCTAGGTCTCTCTGATGAAGGATAAAGCTTGATGTTGAACCACATTCTATATTTCTTTACCTAGTGTCATATTTCTGGGATAGAAAGTAGAAGCTTGATGATTGGTGTAACTTTTATTATGAAGCAGAGATCTTGACCCTTCACCAAATGGTTCTAGTTCCAGCACAATAAGTGGAGCTAATTATATATATTGTTAAACTTTTTTTTAGCATTTTATTTATTAATTTTAAAATTTTTATAATTATAAAAGTGAAACATTTATTTTATCTTAATGAAGATATAACATGTGCATAAATGATATGAATATGATGAATAAAAAGATAGTTTCAAGTGGCATTGTAAGTGATTATTATGGCGGTGGTTGACAATAACGATGCGATGGTTGGTCTTGTTGATATTTATTCGAATATCGATGATGAGAAGGAAGATGAGGTATCTATGTCGATGACAGAGGAGAAAGAGAAAGGAGGTGAGGTATCTTTGTCTAGTAGCACGATAAACTCGAGGAAGGGGTGGTGGGTGGTGAGGAGGGAGACATTGTGAGCGAACTCAACGAAGAGGCACACGTGCTTTGAGCTCTCAAGCTTTAGTCGGCATGTGAATGACACATATACCTCGGTCATAATAATATGGTCGCCAACTTGCTTTTAAGTTAGCTTCACTAATGATTAGAGACTATTTGATCAAACGAGGATTAATTATCAAACAAAATGGAGGCTTGAAGAATAGAAATTCGACGATACGAGAGACAACAAATTCTTATCCTTATTTCCCTTCACCTTCGATGTTGTGATGACGGGGGAGGGTATCAGAAAAATGATAGATCATCGCATTGTGATTAGCCTTCAGATTGGGAATTATAATTTTGGCTAGGGTTTCAAGATCGATCGACTCTATCTCACCTGTCTTCTCTTCCTCTTTCGGTGTCGATGTAGATGCAAAGTGATATCGAAGAAGGAAGATGAGGCAGAGAGGTGCGACACTAACATAGATGCCTCATCTCCCTCTTTCTCCTTCGGCACAAATACATATTTCTCACCATACTGCTTTCTCTTCCTTTTTGTCATCGATGTTTGAATCAACATAAGCAAGGTCGACCATTATGTTGTTATCATCGACCATCACCATAACATTCACTCATGTCACCGTTTGTCATAATTATTGAAATTATTTTTTTATTTTTTATGTCATTCATGCATATACTATCACATGTTATATCTTTAATCGATAAAATCGATGATTTTAAGATAAATAAAATTAAATATTTTATTTTTATAATTATAGATATTTTAATATAAAATTTTTAGATCTAAACAATCTACCATGCCAACCGTAAAATTTTCACCTCATTACGGTAAACGATGTTTGAAACTGATAACTACGATGAAGAGTGGACGACATTTATTGAAATTTTGATGTAAGGTTTGGGGCCCACACCATTTGCCACATCAGCAAGTAAACCAGCGTCATATATATA